GATCAAGAGAAGAAAAAGAAGCTGTGGCAGGATGTAGATAAGTAGGCGAGTCATCATTTAATAAACACAAATTATTAATGTTAATGAAGTCCGCTATTTGTTTACCTCTGTTATTATCATCTGGACTACCCCAGAGTGAATGATGACCATTGAAATCTCCCGTAATTATAAACGGGAGAGGAAGTTGTGCAACAAGGTCATCAAGATCTCTGGGGTTCAGATGTAAACTAGGTGGTAAATATACAGAGCAGAGTGTGATAGGAATATGTAAAGTCACCCTCACTGCAACTGCCTGTAAAGGCGAATTGAGGGTGACTTTGCTCTGCGGAATATTTCCATTAAGGAAAATGGAAACACCACCGTGTGCTCTACCATCATTATTAGCAAAATAATGATAGGCAACAAAATGTCTGAGTGTTAAGACATCTGAATTCTTTAAAAAAGTTTCTTGTAAACAAATAGCTAAGGGATTAAATTTTTGAATTAAGATTTGAACTTCATTAAAATTTGGTTTCAGACCACGACAATTCCATTGAATAATGGAATTAGCCATTTTCAGGGAGGTTTAACAGGACTTCTGTGATGTTGTTTGGGGTCATGTATTTCTACAACAACATCCATTAGATTGTCCTGTATCCCGAACCTGTTATAGGTTCCGACAGGATCTTCGTCACCCTTCCTACTACGGAAGGTAGCCAATTTAGAATTTTTAGGAACGCCTTTACCAGAACGTTCCTTAGTAATATCTATTTTGGGTGGATTTCCACCAATTGGTTGAGGAGTGGGAGGCACAATCTCCTCAATCTCAGACTCCCCAGACTTATTAGCAGTCTGGGTGTTGAGAGAAATATTTACGGGCTTTGGAGGAATGGTAGGTTTCGGTGGTGACGAGGATTCCGTCGCAGCTGGAAATACAGCAGGTGTTTGACAAGCAATGGAAGTGGTCTTGGGCTTGACTGCATTTGCAAAAGACATTGCAAATGTTGGGGTTGCAGCCTCTACCAGCTTCCTTGCTTCAGGATATGGTATGTTTTTTTCTGTTTTCACCTGCTGCACTTGTTTTTCTTTCTTCCATATTGGGCACTCTCTAGAATAAGCAAAATGAGGCCCTTTGCAGTTAATGCAATGGTGGTCGAGTTGACAAGATGTACTTTCGTGACCATCTTGTCCACATCTAGCACACATCGCTTTCCCCTTACACACGTTTTTACTGTGTCCAAAGCGTTGACAATGAAAACAACGCAATGGATTGGGAATGTACGGGGTAACTGGTATGGCAAGAAAACCAGCTTTGATCATCCTAGGAAGATCTGGTTTATCAAAGGTCAGGATATAGGTGTTGGTTTGGATAATATTACCATTACGTCTGATGGAAATACGTTTGACGTATGTAACACCTTGTGAGGCGAGATTTTCAAGCATCTCTTCCTCACAGCTGCCTTCTAAATCCTGAGACCGAATAACACCTCTTGATGAATTTAGAGAGTTATGCGGTGCAACTTTGATAGGAATGTTGGCTAAAGTCTTTGATTTTAATAATGAAGTAGCATGTGATTCTTTAGCACATTCCACTAACAAAGTACCATTTCTCATTTTCTTGACGCTTTTGGGCTCACCAGCCAAGCCAGCAAGACCTTTAGCAATCAAAAAAGGAGATGTTTTACTAAGATTGATATCGTTAGTACTTTGTATGACCAGAAATCTAGGCCAGGTTCGGGAAGTTTTTATTGGTAATGGTTCTAAATCCTCGGTCGACATACGTTTGGTAGTACGAGTCTTCTTGGTTTGAGAAGCCATTTGAGTAATTTAAAAGATTCATCCCTGCCTGCTCTCCAACCACCAAAGGGTTACAATATCAATGCAGGCTACTGCGCGGATATCCAGCGCATGCGCCCTACGAGGACAGACAGGGATATACCTAGACAAAGTAAAGATTAAATATTTTTACTCTACCTAGTTGACCCAAGCCGCTGCTTTAGAGTAGGCGCGTAGGACACAAAGGTAGATCTGCAACAAATACATTACAGAATAGTGGAAAAGATGCGCCTACTCGTCAGCTAAACACGACCAAAGCCGATTGATCAGAGTGGGCCACTCTGACCTCCCGTCTAGGTGAATTGTGGGCCGAAGCAATGTGTTGCAGAGAAAGGGCTCGCAAGCCAAATCCCCACTCAATTACCAGGATTCCACTCTCCACCGACACGGGTCGCAACGCACGGCAAACACGTTGCCCCATTACAGGGATCCTTTTAGTCGCCTTTTACGACACGCAGGACATACGAAGGGTATATTCTTATCACCCCCTACACCCCAGGGGGGGATAGCCGAATACAGGTATACAAGCATAGCACAGATTACAATACTAGCTATAACCATTTTTCCACCCTGGCCAGCCTCGCGGCTGTCTAGGAACTCAGATGGAACCTCTCTGGAATCTAATGGAAGCCTAACTTAAAACTTTACTATGATTTCTTTTATAAGACTCCTGCATATCACGCAAAGAAAGCCTGTTCATGGCCCTGAACCCGTGCAATTAACAATATGATTGGTTACCTTAAGCCAAATGATGCAATTAGAATAATTCGACTCACGTGTTATCTGGTGGTATATTATTGACACATGTTTTGGCTAAATAGCTCTTTTTATGTGTGAACTGTCAATTACAGACTAAGTTGATTTAGTACACACTATATATAATATATATGTGAATATGTGTGAAACTATTAATTTGCCAAATATATTAATTAATGAAATATAAAGTCATCTTTTTTCTCTATTCTTTGTCTATAAATTTAAAAACAATGTCGCAACGACTATATTGTTACAATGTAGGCTAAGTAAATTTACCTGTAACCCTAACACTAGACAGTGTCTCCATATGGCTTGCGTAAAATGGAAAAGGCAACCACGAACATGCACCTGTGGAAAGACTTTACCAGCCTCAAAGTCCATAATAGCAGTCTTTAATTGCGGGGGATTTGATAGCAAATCTTCAATTTTCTTTGAAATAGCAATATAGTCAATTGTTCTGCGTCGTGACATCAAGACGAAAAATAGAGAAACCAATTTTACTTGTCTGCCAGAACGTACAAAACCATGTATTGGCATTAATTGGTAAAATGGTTTCTTAACCATTTTGAAAGTTCCGTCAATGAACCATTGTCTGGATATGGACAGTTGTTGTAGTTGCCTCTCCATTGCCAACAAAATGTGTCTTTCTCCTTTCACTGTTAAGTCTGCTTGAAAAAAGCCCTCTGGTATAGTTGATTCTACAATCTGTAAATGAATAAAATATAACATTAAACTTTAACATAACAGTAGTAGTAATAACACTATGGCTCTAGCTGACATAAAAATATTGCCTAATGCAGAATCTTTGACCTAGAGAATATTAAACACCATATTTAACCAACATACATTGGAACTTTCGTCGTCAAGAAACAAGTACATTATCATATTCTCGAAATATCAAAAGCAAATAACATAAACATATATGAAGCAAATTTATATAAGCTTTTAGCTTGTTTTTGTATCATATCTTTATAATTGTAATGTATTATATGATATTTTATGAATAAAATATTGTTTAAATCAAATCAACCAACATACATGTAACTGGACATCTCAAGTAAACATCTAGTATTCACCTAAGTAAAACTCTAGGCTAATTTATTGAATGAGTGTTGGAAATACCTACTTCTCTACGGACTTTAACTTCTTGTAGCTTTCCAGGTTGCGTGGGATGATTGTGCGCATTCTTTCCATATTCAAACGTTCTGTTCTCCAGATTTTCCTTAACTGATGCATTACACTTTCTCTTATCCGTTCTTTTGCTACAACTCCAGTATACATTACCCGAATTAGAACCCTGAAAGACATTAATACATTTTCAACTAATCACCATGATAAGCAGGGTGACAAATATTTGTTGAGACTACTTCTTACATCTCGTCTGGGTAGACATCAAGAACATACACATGAGAAACCAGGAATTGATTACGATAAAAAGGAAATCATGGTACCATGGATTGATCGCTTATTTACCTTTATCACATATGTGTATCCATTGCCATCAACCAATTACATATAAAAAAAAGCTTTAAACAATGGTGTCTTTTAAAAGTTGAAAAAATTATAAAGGATGTTTTGATAATCATTGAGACAAGAATGTCTCATCATTGTAAGAAAAGGCTTGAATTATACCAGATGGTTAATTTGGGATAATGTTGTGACAATCACATAAGACAAAAGAACTTTAAAACTTTATAAATTGCAAGATTGAAAAAGTTATAAAGGATGTTTTGACAAACATTAACAAAATTTTAATTATTTTTTTTAAATCTAAAACTCTGTAAACTTGGCTATGAAGGGCAGGTAGGAGAAAATTTGGCCGTTATGACCAAATAATGTTTGGCCGTTATGGCCGTTATGACCAAGTTTTGGGCGTTATGACCAACTTTGGCCGTTATGACCAAATATGTTTTGGCCGTTTTTGCTTTTAGGAGTAATGTCCGTAACCCAATGATCCCCTTTAGTAATGATGATTGAGGCTACACCGAAAATTCAATCGCTAAAATCGGGTTGGATCATTATGACTGAAATTTTCAGCAAATTCCCTTTACATTATCTAGTTTTTAACAATTATACTGAGGCCTGCCAGCTCTTTATATAATCTCCCATAAGGATGATCCTTAGTGTATAAGGAATAAGTATGCAAAGTTTCAAGATATTCCGTTAAGAAATGGGGCTTGTAGATGACAAACAGAAAAATACAAAAAATAATTGCGGCTCTGTCCCCGGGGGTCGGTCATGCACCAAAAACAATTGGGATCATGTTTAGGGTATAAGGAATAAGTATGCAAATATAAATATGTGCACGTAATAGTCCTATGCTGTCAAGTGTCTAACATTACGAGTTATTCGTGTTGGATAGATCCACAGCTTACTTCATTATACAACTATCCCAAAGTTGTTCCGGAAATGAACATGGTATAGTAAAGAAAGGCAGTTCGGTTTTCTTTGTGCGATCTCACTTCATACGATATAAACCGTCTCTTTACCACACGACTAGTCTTATATTGATACGTTATATCAACTTGTATGATCTATAGAGGTCAGATGTAAACATCAACAATTAATGATGGTGACATCGTAATGGTGAGTTGAATTATTGGACCCAAACTTATTAACCTTAAATATTCGCCTGTCTACTACTATCACTGGGAGGGATGACATAGGGCGAATGAATTAAGTTTCAAAATTAACTTTTTAACCTTTTGCGAATCGGAGTGGATATTTTACCGTATATCGTTTCTGATTGGCCGGAATATAGTGACGTCATCAAGTGTCAGTTCCTGGATTATTTGACAGTACATGAGATGAATTTAACCGTATACGGCTATCTTAAAAATCAGTATTAATCCCAAAATTTGAAAATAAATTAAGAACACACTATTGTAATTAATTTAATTTAATTTCCCATTTTGATGGATTAGAAAAATGGGTTAGGGTTCAAATTTATCTCCTATTTTCAGAACATCTGTACTTTCCGCCATTTTGAATAAGGTATGACATCATCATACAAATTAGCCAATCAGAAACTATGTACAGTAAAATAGCGGAAGTAGATACTTTGCCGTAAATACGGTTAAATATCCACTTCCTTTGCGAATTAAATTCTAAAACAATTTTTAAATTCTGGATCTGAATAGATACGTTGAGGACCTTTCGGTATAATCAATGGGAGAGAGAGTGTGGTCACACTAATTCCACTGATTGAGGGCTGTGCAAAAACAGCCTATTGTCTTAGCATGCACAACACTATCGTCCAGGTGGTTCCAATCTATTAACATTTTGGGGAAGAACGAGTTTTTATACAGTTTATTTTTACAGTCTAATGTTTTGAAACACTTCGAGTTATTTGTAGTTTGTGATTCTAGTATATTATCACTGTGAAAGTCTGAAAACTTTTTAACCGCAACTCTGCATTTGTTTGCGCGAATTTGGGGTAAGTAGTCATGAAATGGTAGTTCTGACACCAGCACCTGAACCACCTTGTAGAAAAGTATTAAGCGGTTTGTTTTTCTTCTATTCTGTAAGTTTCCGGCGTGGTTTCCCCTTGTGAGTGATACATGACGGAGGGCCTGACAGGACAGCTGTCTAGTCGTTCGGATGGGACGGAAAACTGACGTCCCATGTACACATTGGCGTGCACATAAAAGATCCCTTGGCAGTTGGAATTCGATATAAGAGTAGGCTGTAGTACCGCTGTCCGAGCAAAATTTCCCTCATAGCACACTGTATGGCGGATGCCCGTCTTCATTAACCCAGGTTAGGAGCAGAGCAGTAGGATGTTAAACCACATTTCATTTCATTTCTATTCTGTAAGGATGGTAGATCCAGGTTTTTTAGCATCTGTGTGATGCATCCCAGGTCTTTGCTTGTGTAGTCTCCTGATATGAAATGTGCTGCTTGTCCCTCTGCAGGTGGGTATCCCATACTGTTTAGCTGTACTCCACGGTTGAGCATACAAGGGCCAGATAGGCTGTTTTGTGGCATGATTCCGGGCAATGTTGAAGATTGCGGCGGAGAAAACCAAATTATTGAGGAAAAAGTTAAATGTTGGAAGTAGCCTATATCTGGATAAACAAATCTGGATAGTACACAAAGGCGTAAAAATTACAAGAAACTAATGATGTAATAACTTTTATATATTACAGGAGACTAATGATGTTATAACTTTTATATATTACAAGAAACTAATGATGTTATAACTTTTATATATTACAGGAGACTAATGATGATATAGCTTTTATATATTACAGGAGACTAATGATGTAATAACTTTTATATATTACAGGAAACTAATGATATTATAACTTTATATATTACAGGAAACTAATGATGTTATAACTTTTATATATTACAGGAGACTAATGATGTTATAACTTTTATATATTACAGGAAACTAATGATGTTGTAACTTTTATATATTACAGGAGACTAATGATGTTAAAACTTTTATATATTACAGGAGACTAATGATGTTAAAACTTTTATATATTACAGGAGACTAATGATGTTATAACTTTTCATCAGTGTACAATATGTGATGAAATTTTTCAAAGTTTTTGTAGTTTAGAAAACCACTACAAAGTGCATGTTAAAGAAGAGAAATCTGATGATCTAGATGAATATGGTCATGTTAAAGAAGACACAACTGATGCCGTAGATGAATATTGTCATGTTAAAGAAGAGAAAACTGTGGACGTAGATGAATATCGTCATGTTAAAGAAGACACAACTGATGACGTAGATGAATATTGTCATGTTAAAGAAGAGAAAACTGTGGACGTAGATGAATATCGTCATGTTAAAGATGAGAAAACTGATGATGTAGATGAATATTGTCATGTTAAAGAAGAGAAAACTGATGATGTAGATGAATATAGTCATGTTAAAGAAGACACAACTGATGACGTAGATGAATATTGTCATGTTAAAGAAGAGATAACATTTGATGTAGATGAATATTGTCATGTTAAAGAAGAGAAAACTGATGATGTAGATGGATATTGTCATGTTAAAGAAGAGGAAACTGATGATGTAGATGAATATTGTCATGTTAAAGAAGAAAGAGCTGATGATGTAGATGAATATAGTCATGTTAAAGAAGACACAACTGATGACATAGATGAATATTGTCATGTTAAAGAAGAGATAACAGATGATGTAGATGAATATTGTCATGTTAAAGAAGAGAAAACTGATGACGTAGATGAATATTGTCATGTTCAAGAAGAGAAAGCTGATGATATTGAAACTGTTTATCAGTGTAATTTGTGTGATGAGGAATTTAAATTAGAAACTGATTTAGAAAAACACTGTGAAAAACATGTTAAAGAAGAGGAATCTGTTTTACAACATGGTGAACATTGTGAGGAAAGTTTTAACCAGGATAATGAAAAAGAAATACACAATTCACAAGAGTTTAAGAAGTGTGATGTTTGTAGCAAATCATTTACTAACAAATATTACCTTCAAATTCATTTGAGAATTCATACAGGTGCAAAACCTTATAAATGTGATGTTTGTGGTAAATCATTTTCACAGAGTAGTAGTCTACAGAGACATATAAAAATTCATACTGGTGAAAAACCCTTTACATGCAATGTTTGTCATAAATCATTTACCAACAGTAGTACTCTACAGAGACATATCAGAATTCATACTGGTGAAAAACCTTATAAATGCGATGTTTGTAGTAAATCATTCACATACAGTAGTAAACTACAAAGACATATAAAAATTCATACTAGAGAAAAACCCTTTATGTGTGATGTTTGTCGTAAATCATTTACTACCCGTAGCGATCTACACAGACATATCAGAATTCACACTGGACAAAGGCCATTTACATGTGATGTTTGTAGTAAATCATTTAATAGCAGTAGTGATCTACAGCGACATATCAGAATTCACACTGGACAAAGGCCATTTACATGTGATGTTTGTAGTAAATCATTTACTAACAGTTGCAATCTTAAGAAACATATCAGAATTCATACTGGTGAAAAACCTTTAAAATCTGATGTTTGTCGTAAATCTTTCACTGATAGTACACATGTCAGTGCACCCAAGTGAAAAATTTACGGTGTAGTTAGAACGGTTGTCTTTAGTCACACCAGAAATCACACTGTAAATAGTAGAATAAAACTTTTATAAATTCTCAAGTTTTATGATTGTATGTATGTAGTTTGAATTTGGCTGTCTGTATAGTAGTCAATGTGGTACAATATTATGTGATACATGATGTAGCTATCTCTGTTTTGTAATTCAGGCAATGTAATGTTGTAATCATCAATTAGATACATTGAGCATGCTTGGTTTTTATACGCCCACATTTTTATGTTTTCATCGCCCCTGTCCGGCCGTCTATCCACAATTGTTTGTTAACACTCTACAGGTCACAATTTTTATCCGATGAAACTTGAAATATAAGTTTGTCACCCCAAGATCTCGGTTACTTTTGATATTGGCATGTATCAGACTGTTAACTTCATGGATTATGGCCCTTGATTGTACGAAAAATCATGTTTTTAGCTTGTGAACACTATAGAGGTCACAATTTTTATTCGATTTGGTTTAAACTTGAAATGTATGTTTAAAACCCACAGATCTCGGTTCCTTTTGATATTCGCGCATATCGGACCATAACTTCCTGAATTATGGCTGCTGATTGTACGAAAAATCGCATTTTTAGCTTGTGGACCCTATAGAGGTAATAATTTTTATCTGATTTAAAAAAACGTTTTATTATATCACTGTTACACCATAAGGACGGCTGAGTTTGAATTTCGTGAAAATGGGTCCAAAACTGACCGTAACTTCCTGAATTATGGCCCCTGATTGTACAAAACATCGCGTTTTTAGCTTGTGGACCCTATAGAGGTCATAATTTTTATCTGATTTAAGAAAACGTTCGAATATATCACCATTACACCCTAAGGATAGTTGAGTACGAATGTCGTAAATATCGAACCAAAACTGGCAGACAAAATGGCCGCCCCTCGTACTCAAATAGTGTAAAAAATATGGTATATCAATGTTGTGGACTCTCTAGAGGTCACTATTTTCTTTTGATTTTGATGAAACTTGAAATGTAAGTTAATAACCCAAAGATCTTGGTTCCTTTCGATATTCGGCATATCGGATAGTAACTTCCTGAATTATGGCCCTTGATTGTACGAAAAATCGCGTTTTTAGCTTGAGGTCCTTGTAGAGGTCACAATTTTTAACTGATTTAAAAAAAATGTGTGAATATATCACCATTACACACTAAGATCATGGATCCTTTTGATAATCGCGGTTGCCCGAACTTAACTTCCTGGATTATGGCCCCTGCTTGTTCGAAAAATAGCATTATTAGCTTGCGGATTCTCTAGAGGTCACAATTTTTTTTCCCGATTTTAAAAACCGTTTAAAATTTCACCATTCCACCGTAATGAAGGTTAAATTTGAATTTCGGGAATATCAAAATGAAACTGCCCAACAAAATGGCCGCTCTTTGTATGCAAATTGTGTGTAAAAGTATGCAATTTGAAGGTTGTCAACCCTCTAGAGGTCACAATTTTTGTCCGAATCTGATGACACTTAAATCATATCTTTATATCCCAAAGATCTCAGTCCCGTTTGATAATTGCGCATTTCAGACCATAACTTTCTGGATTATTGCCCCTGATTGTACAAAAAATCCCGTTTGTTTTTAGCTTGTTCTCTATCCATCTCTTGCAAAATGTGGGCGTATCCTGTCTGGCAGCCGCTGCTTATTCCTACATCTGGTTGGAACAAGGGAAGGTCAGCAGGAAAAGAGAAAACAATATTGTCATTGAGGCATTTGAAATATATTACTGTAATTTAAGGAGTATATACAAGGGCAATAATAATAATCATAATATTTTTTTCTTTTTGGAGCTTATACAGTGTGGCTTGTGTAACACCTGCTGGTAGTCAGATATGGCTTGTGTAACACCTGCTGGTAGTCAGATATGACTTGTGTAACACCTGCTGGTAGTCAGATATGACTTGTGTAACACCTGCTGGTAGTCAGATATGTAACACCTGCTGGTAGTCAGATATGACTTGTGTTATACATGTAGTAGTCAAATTTTGATAGGACAAGTGATTCAACTAATGATTTTGTGATACTGATACAGGCATTTCCTTGAACACTTTCAAGAGCACTTTTTCAGAAGTGAAGGCACAGGCATCCCCTATACCCTGTTTGAAAATCTTATTGGATTCGAGAGAGATCAACAATTTCTGGTTTCTTTTCTTCCATTGCCTCTGGCCAATGCACTCATTATAAAGTAAATCTGATCAGACATGGACTAAATGACTTGTGAAATCTTGTTGAAACGTTGCAGTGAAGTAAATCTATAGATGTGTATTTCAGTACAGTCTTTACAATTTTATAGTTACATAGTGGAGGTTGATCATGGCTTATATACGTGTGGATTTCAGTCCTGGCTTTACAATTTTATACTTACATAGCGGAGGTCGATCATACCCATGTTTGAAAATTGGGTTTTGAAAAATAGACTATTTTTCCAGGATGCAAAATGACCGATGGATCAGTTCAAGTTTTGGTCATTTTCCATAGCCCTCTGTCTTGACCGGCATATACGGCCGATGTGGAACCCATGCTGTATAAACATGGACTACTACAATAGGGAATCCTGATTAACAATAGGGAGCCATGTAGCTTAGGGTGTTTTAACTTTTTCGAGTAGTCCATGCTGGCTATGTACATGTATCCTGTGTTGCCAGTAAGACCATATATGATCTTTCAGACTTGCCCTACCAAAATTGGGAGAGTGCCGTCATTTTGAATTTTCCCTCCAAAATTGTAATTTTGTAAAGTTTCACTATCACACACCACTGACAATAATAAATCAAACTTCATAGTTACCGAATAAGACCATAGTTACCACGTATTAGGCCATAGTTACCACATATTAGAACATATCTTTGCCCCCCACCCCCTCCGGTGAAAAATTGTCAACCATAGATATACATGTACATTATCTGCCAATTTTACAGCACCCCTGGGGGGGAAGAATGGCTGAATGGTTAGCATGTTCGCGCTGTATCATAAGGTCTGTCATTGATTCAGCTGGCGTGGTTTTGATTCCCAGCGAAATATTGAAGTAAAATTGAACTAAGTGTTAGTCCCAAAATGACCTAGTTTGTGTCGAGTGGATGTTTAACCCCATTTCTCTCTCTCCACCCCCCCCCCCCTTGTTGCTCTGAGCTAGTTACGGCACTGGACCATTGTTACCAAGAATTAGGCCATTTGTTACTGAACAACTTTGGTTAAATGGACTAGCCCTTTAACGGTTCCAGATATACCTTAAAAATCATACACACAGGTGTACCTATCCAACCGCACGAATGCACCAGTTTCCTTCCACAGGAAAGGACCCTGTATGTGCGCTAAGATAATAAAAACCAAGAGCAACGCTACCACAGCAATATACGTCTACATTCCTGCTTTGATTGATATGGTATTTTTTAAAGGGCATATGGTTCTAATTTTTGGGACCTGGAAATAGACAAAAATGGTTCTAAAAGCATTTATTAATGTAATATGAATGTATGTAAAGTGATTTCTATTCAATTTTTAAAAAAAAATATTGTAATTTCTAATCAGTTATGTTTGGTAAAATAAGTGAACAGTTCAAATTGAACGACAGTCGTTTATATCTGCTTAGAGCATTCCACACATTTTTTTAAAATAAGGCATAGCTCCTTTAAAATGAAGAGAATGAAATATGAAATGACTGCTTTGAATCTAATATGACAATGGTAAAGAAAGCTAGGCATTGGGTTTGTTTTGCCATATTTACAGACTAAATATTAACAAAAATGTGGATGTGACACTGCTCTGGAGGCCAGGGCATGCAAAATTAAATAGTTGCTATCGTTATGGTAGGCCTACACATTACACATATATAAGGAATAAATATGCAAAGTTTCAAGATGATCTATTCAGATTCCAGATAGACAAAAAAAACCACAAAATTTGGGTGTGGCTCTGCTCCGGGGGGTCGGGACCCAAATCAATAGTTGTCGTTCTTAGGGTATAAGGAATATAAATGCCAAGTTCCAAGATGATCCATTCAGAATTGCGACATCTATACGATAAACTAAACGATTGGGCGTTACTGTCTCTGGTAGTCGGGCATGCAACAAATATAACAGAGGTCATCCTTAGGGTATAAGGAATAAGTATGAAAGATTTTCAACACCATCAATTAATGGAAGTACACGTATTAGTGTTAGAGACTTAGCTACTTTAAACATACATTATGCAAGAGCTAAATCTGTCTATTGTAGGTCTTTCTTTAGGCCTGAAATGTTATCTAAATTATTAATTAGACATTAACTAATCCAGACCATAATCAACTCTTGATGTCAACGCTAGCCTGCGATATTTACTGGATTAGGATTCATTTTGCTGCTCAACTTTCATTCATGATTTAATCATGAAATGGATAATCAAGACGATGTTTTTTTTTATCGTAACAACTTTTGTAATGATGATTGAGGCTAGGCCGAAAATTCAATAGCTAAAATCTTGGTTCAGGGTGGATCAATTCGACAGAAATTTTCAGCAAATTCCCTTTACATTATCTAGTTTTTAACTATTATAGTGAGGTCTGCCAGCTCTTTATCTCCCAGAAGGTTGATCCTTAGTGTATAAGGAATAAGTATGCAAAGTTTCAAGATATTCCGTTAAGAAATGGGGCTTGTAGATGACAAACAGAAAAATACAAAAAATAGTTGCGGCTCTGTCCCTGGGGGTCGGTCATGCACCAAAAACAATTGGGATCATCTTTAGGGTATAAGGAATAAGTTAGCAAATATAAATATGTGCACGTAATAGTCCTATGCTGTCAAGTGTCTAACATTACGAGTTATTCGTGTTGGATAGATCCACAGCTTACTTCATTATACAACTATCCCAAAGTTGTTCCGGAAATGAACATGGGATAGTGAAGTAAGGCAGTTTTCTTTACGCGATCTCACTTCATGCGATATACACCGTCTGTTTACCACATGAGTGGTCGTTTATTGATACGTTATATCAACTTGTATGATCTATAAAACTCGGATGTAAACATCAACGATTAACGGTGATGACATCGTAATGGTGAGTTGAATTATTGGACCCAAACTTATCAACCTTATCACTGTGAGGGATGACATGGGGCGAATGAATTAAGTTTAAAAATTAACCGTTTGCTACTTAAATTCTAAAACAATTTTTTTGAATTATTAAGAAAAAAGTTAAATGATCGAAGTAGCCTATATCTGGATAAACAAGTATTGCCTATTTAGTGCAAATGGCCACGTACAATAGTACACAAAGGCCTAAAAATTACAGGAAACTAATGATGTAATAACTTTCATATATTACAGAAAGCTAAAGATTTTATAACTTTTATATATTACAGGAAACTAATGAAGTTATAACTTTTATATATTACAGGAAACTGATGATGTTATAACTTTTCATCAGTGTACAATATGTGATGAAATTTTTCAAAGTTTTTGTAGTTTAGAAAACCACTACAAAGTGCATGTTAAAGAAGAGAAATCTGATGATGTAGATGAATATTGTCATGTTAAAGAAGAGAAAACTGATGATGTAGATGAATATTGTCATGTTAAAGAAGAGAAAACTGATGATGTAGATGAATATTGTCATGTTAAAGAAGAGAAAACCGAAAACATTGAAACATGCTATCAGTGTAATTTGTGTGATAAAGAATATAATTTAGAAACTGATTTAGAAAAACACTGTGAAAAACATGTTAAAGAAGAGGAATCTGTTTTACAACATGGTAAACATTGGGAGAAGAGTTTTGGCCAGAATAATGAAAAAGAAATACACAATTCACAAGAGTTTAAAAAGTGTGATGTTTGTAGTAAATCATTTATTGACAAAAATTACTTTCTAATTCACATGAGAAATCATACAGGAGGAAAGCTATTTAATTGTGATGTTTGTAGTAAATCATTTACTACCCGTAGCGATCTACAAAAACATATCAGAATTCACACTGAAGAAAAGCCCTTTGAATGTGGTGTTTGTAGTAAATCATTTACAAGCAGCAGTAAACTAGAAACACATATGAGAATTCATACTGGTGAAAAACCCTTTACGTGTGATGCTTGTCGTAAATCATTTACTACCCGTAGCGATCTACACCGACATATCAGAATTCATACTGGACAAAGGCCATTTACATGTGATGTTTGTAGTAAATCATTTAATAGCAGTAGTGATCTACAGAGACATATACGAATTCATACTGGTGAAAAACCCTTTATGTGTGATGTTTGTAGTAAATCATTTACTAACAGAGGTCATCTTAAGAAACATATCAGAATTCATACTGGTGAAAAATCGTAAATCTTTCACTGATAGTATTGGTCTCCAGCAACACAGAAGAACTGATTCTGGTGAAAAACAATAAATGTGATGTTTGTTGTAAATCATTCACAAGGAGTAGTTTGTTGAAAAGTCACATGTCAGTGCATCCAAGTGAAAAACCGTGATAAATTTACGGTGCAGTTAGAACGGTTGTCTTTAGTCACACCAGAAATCATGCTGTAAATAGTAAAAATTAAAACTTTTATAAAATCTCAAGTTTTATGATTGTATGTATGTACATGTAGTTTGAATTTGACTGTCTCTGGTATGGTGATGTGATACAATATTATATGATATATGTTGGAGAGAGAGAGAAATGGGGTTTAACGTCCACTCGACACAAACTAAGTCATTTCGGGACTAACATATGGTTTAATTTTATTTCAATAATTTGCTTGCGCATAGGCGTCTTTAGCAGTGGGAGGAAACCGGAGAAAACCCACGAGGTTGGACATGCGACCCTACTCTTTGTCACGTACAACCGGGGATTCGAAACCATGCCAGTCGACTCAATGACAGACTTTATGATAAAGCGTGCGCACGCTAACCATTCAGCCATCCAACCCCCCTACATGGTGTAGTCATCTGTACAATATTATATGGTGTAGCCATCTGTGTAATGGTAAAGTTATTATGATGTAGCCATCTCTGTATAGTAGTACAATATTATATGATACATGCTGTAGCCGTCTGTGTTGTAATTTAAACGATGTAATCATCAAATAGATACATTGAGTGTGATTGGTTTTTATTGCTACATCTGGTTGGAACAAGGGAAGGTCAGCACGAAAAAATAGGTCAGAATATTGTCATTAGGGCAGTTGAAATATATTACTGTAACTTTACGGGGTATAAGTCATAGTTTACTGCTTTTCCAACCTACATCCATATTTTAGTCGAAGCGGTATATAAGACGAATGTTTTTCAACTCTACAGTTACGGTAGCAATCAGGTTCAACATCCACTCTAGGTCATTTTGGGACTAACATGGTTTAATTTTATTTCAATAATTCGCTTGCGCATAGGGGTCTTTAGCAGTGGGAGGACCCGGAGAAAACCCACAAGGTTGGACAGGCGACCCTACTCCTGGTCACGTACAACCGGGGATTCGAAACCATGCCAGCTGACTCAATGACAGACCTTATGATACAGCGCACACATGCTAACCATTTGGCCATCCAACCCCCCAAACAGGTAGGAAGTAGTGTATTTATAAGACGAAATGAAATGGGGTTTAACGTCCTACTGTTCTGTTCCTAAACTGGACTAATGAAGATGGGCATACGTCGTACAGTGTGCTGTTAGGGAAATTTTGCTCGGGCAGCGGCGCTACGGCCTACTCTTATATCAAATTTGAACTGCCAATGTGTACACATGACCTTGTTTTTTTGTCCCATCCGAACGACTATACAGCTATCCTTGTCATGCATCACTGACAAGAGGAAACCATGCCAGAAAATCTGGATGAACTTTCTCGGCCAATGCAGGGATCGAACACCTGATCACCAGGCTAGCTAGCCAGCGTCTTATGTATTTAAAAGACATTTAACAGCTTAAACACTTTGTATTCATAGCCGCCATATTAATTCTACGTAAATGTAGCAGGGCCAGAGGGACGCAAGAAATCTCCTCAGTCTCGGGTCGCAGGAAAGAATACCAGAAACACTTATCCCAAGAATACAGTTTATTGCACCGAAGTATTAAATTCAAATAAAAATAAAAAGCCCTGAAAATAAATAAAATATTTAAAATAATAAATAAATAATTTATTCATCCTTAATTCAAATGAAAATGAAAGCACTGGAAAATATACAAAAAAAAATATTTAAAATAACAAATAAATAATTTATCCTTAATTCAAGTAAAAATGAAAACACTAAAAATATACAAAACAATATTCACTAATTACTACCAAATAAAAAAATAAATAATTTATCCTTAATTCAAGTGAAAATGAAAGCACTGAAAATATACGAAAGAATATTCAAAATAATAAATAAATAAATAATTAATCCTTAATTCAATAATCACTACCAAATTAAAAATAAATACATGTAAATAACTTATCCTTTATTCAAGTGAAAATGAAAGCAGTGAAAATAAACAAAAAAATATTCACAATAACAAATAAATAAATAATTAATCCTCAATTCAATAATTACTACCAAATTAAAACAAAGAAATAGTTCATAGATATATAGATTTGAAGTATAAAACATACTTAACTCCCTAATTCATTATTTAGACAAAATGTAATGTGTAACTAGCAAACTTTATAAAATTGAACATACCCTAAGACAGGTGAAGCGTCCAGGGGAAGAACGATCTAGGTCATATTTTTGTCTTTTCGCATAAAACACATAACAGACTTTTGGACGAGAATGCTTGATGCGAACAGAACAACGAGTGGGTTTAATTACAACTTCAAAATGATGTTTAATACGAATCATCATTACCAGTACAACAACTGACTTCCACTTTTCAGCCAAATTAAGGTCAAATAAATATGATGGACAAGAGCCAGATAGATTTCACCATATGTACCTGTAAATTTATGTATTATGTTACAAGATCAAAGAGATTTACCGTTATAGGTTTAAAACACAGGCTACAGTTGTGATATGTCATCACGTACACAGCAAACAAATTAACAATCTAATTAAAATATAGATCTATATTTCGTTTCGTTTTTTTATACTTTCGATGGCCTACACTACATGTAGATCTAACAAGTTATAGTGGGAGTTCACGTTCTATGATGTCAGGTACCAAGCAAGCGACATTTGACCCGATAACGTCAGTCATTCGATTAACCAATTAGCGACAGCCATGCTTTGTTTTGATCTCTATCACTGGTAATGTCTACCCACAGTTCCGCGCAAAAAAGGTCAAACGCTCGATTCGACAGACCATTTGATTGGCTGACCCCTCATTTCAAGCAAAACACGAGTTACATAACAAGTCTTCCAGATCCAAATGTAGTAAAGACAAGTGAACTATAATTAAAGATACATTATGGGAGATTTTTATAGAGAGTTGGCCATTCTTGCTATAACAGTTCAAAAGTAAATGATGAAAGAAGAATATATTGAAAATTTCAGTCAAATTACTTTATTCTGAACATAGTTATCATCGTTGTAATATTTGCCTAGAAATGGTAGTGAAATGTGCCATCACCTTGGTCGATGGTTTGATTGACAGGCGTTAACTCCACCTACATATCTCGATTATCAAGTAAAGTTTTCAATGGCATGCGGAAACGCTCTACAGCGGCCTCGCTAAGTACACTCTATCATTTAGCCTCGATCTAACTGACGTATTCTCATCAGGGTGTGCGCCATATTCGAATTTATCAATGAGTGAAATCCTATTTAAATCCGAGCTGTAGCCGAGCCATCCGTGGGTCTACAGAGTTGATTTTGGGCTTGTTGTTTAAATAAAGATCTAATTTATAATTTCTATAACATCTGACGCCTAAATTAAGACTTGCAATAATCAGATTTTGCTCTTGCATAATGTATGTTTAATTAACTTATCCAGACCATAATCTTCGCTAGTCTGCGATCTTTAGTGGATTATGAGCCGATATACTACATAACTTTTCTTCACTATTTAACGATTAAATGGATAATCAAGACTATGCTGTTTATCATACTGACTCTAGTAATGATGATCGAGGCTAGGCAGAAATTTCAATTGCTTAGTTCTCGGTTCGTTGTGGATCTATTTGAATGAAATTTTTTTGCAAATTGCCTCTATGTTATCTAGTTTTTAACTATTATACTGAGAACTGCACACTCGTTATCGAATCTCCCATAATGTATCTTTACCCCGTTAAGCGTGACGTTTTTAAAACGTTAACTACCCCCTATTGTGTAATTAATTTGACGAAGTGAAGAAGAACTATGTTCTAAGAATAGGTTGGGGAAAATACCTCCAAGGCGTTATATTATGCCCTAGACACGGTGAGTGTCAGTTGTCCAGGACATTATATAACGACCTACGCACTTAATGGGTTAATATTATGTAACACACATTAAAGATGGGTTCCCGCGTACAAACTTGGTGATTTAATGGTATATATGGACGAAAAACATATTCAAACTAATTAATTTGTCATTATTATGCTTCAAATCCTTCTCAAACATTGTAATTGCGAAGGAATGCCCTGCTATTAAAATTTGATCAAACCAGGTCATGTTTACGTCACGTCTTGTGAGTCAGAGGAGCATTCATTGCATACATAAGACGATGTTGTCTTTAATCGCTTACTATTTATTACAAATATCGAATCCTAATTAAATTCTCAAATTATCCACTACCTGCGTCTTTTTCCGTCATTTTTATCTCAGAAAGTAATGTACGTCTAACTCACCATATAGTTTATCAACTTGCACATCAAGCCTTCAATGTTCGCTTGTGACCTTTGACATCACGCGTGCAGAAGTTCCTAATCAACAGCCCGTCGATTAGGGGAACCCTTACATTTTTGTCCAGTATACGCTCCATGAATGTTTTTCGGGGAATCCAGTATTTTTCTAGTAAGATTGGATATCTCTACTTTCCATATATACCAAAATTGCCATACTTTTATTGGAAATAACCACCCGATAAATACTTTTCTGGGAACCCATCTTTAACGTATATATGATCTTAAAAGGTTTAAAAGTTTACAGGGTAATTCTCCCGTCAAAAGGCAAAACCTAGTAACTCGCTTTTTTATCAAAATTAAGTTAGGACCAAATTTGTAGTTACTAGGGTATGTGCTTCCTGTTGTACTAGATATTCCAATCTTGTGATTTTGTTAGCAGTTACATCCATCACTCAACCTAGCAACTTCCTTCATTTGCCTAGTATACCACAGCAAAACCTAGTAACTCAATAGTCAAATCAATGGATGAGCTGGGGTTTAACATTCATTCATTACGTTTTCCTTTGTTTTCTCAAAATAAGAAAACAGTGAGTTACTAGGTTTTGCCTTTTGACGGGAGAATTGAGGATGTGATTAAATGATTTATTATGGTTTTTCACCATTATGAATTTTCATGTGTGTTTGAAGGCGACGAATGTGATAAAATGATTTACAACACACATCACATTTGTAAGGATTTTCACCGGTATGAATTTTCATGTGTTTCTGTAGGCGACGAATCCGAGTAAATGATTTACTACAAACATCACATTTGTAAGGATTTTCACCAGTATGAATTCCCATGTGTCTCCGTAGCTGATCCCTCTTTGTAAATGATGTATTACAAACATCACATCTATATGGCTTTTCGCCGGTGTGAGTTCTGATATGTCTATGTAGGTTGCCACTTTCTGTGAAGGACGTACTACAGACATGACATATATATGGCTTTTCACCAGTGTGAATTCTCATGTGCCTCTGCAGGCAACCATTGTCTGTGAATAATTTACTACAAACATTGCATGTAAAAGGTTTATCGCCAGTATGAATTCTTATGTGCGATTTTAGATTACTACTCTGATTAAAAGATTTAAAACAAACGTTACATTTATAAGGTTTTGCACCTGTATGAATTCTCATGTGTTTCTGTAGATGACATCTCCGAGCAAATGATTTCCTACAAACATCACATCTATAGGGTTTTTCACCGGTATGACTTCTCAAGTGAGATTGCATATTTCCACGAATGGTGAATGATCTGCCACAAACATCACATTTAAAAGGTTTTACCCCAGAATGAATTCTCATATGCCTTTGTTGATCTTGTTCTCGAGCAAATGATTTACTACAGACATCACATTTATAAGGCTTTCGTCCTGAACAATTTCTCAAATGACTTTGCAGATAACTAGAAAAGGCAAATGATCTACTACAAACATCACATTTATAAGGTTTATCGCCAGTATGAATTCTAAGGTGTTTTTGTAGAGTACTACTCTGAGTAAATGATTTCTTACAAACATCACATTTATGATTTTTTTCACCAGTATGAATTTGAATATGTTTTTTGAGAGAACTGTGTTGAGTAAATGATTTATTACAACTGTTACATTGATAATGTTTTTCGCCAGTATGAATTCTTGTGTGTCTCTTTAGATCATAGCTTCTAGTGAATGATTTACTACAAACACCACATTTATATGTTTTATCGCCAGTATAAACTCGACATTCTATATCATCAGTTTTCTCTTCGTTAACATGACAATATTCATCTACATCATCAGTTTTCTCATCTTTAACATGACAATATTCATCTACATCATCAGTTTTCTCTTCTTTAACATGACAATATTCATCTACATCATCTGTTTTCTCTTCTTTAACATAACAATATTCATCTACATCATCAGTTTTCTCTTCGTTAACATGACAATATTCATCTACATCATCAGTTTTCTCTTCGTTAACATGACTATATTCATCTATATCATCAGTTTTCTCTTCTTTAACATAACAATATTCATCTACATCATCAGTTTTCTCTTCTTTAACATGACAATATTCATCTACATCATCAGTTTTCTCTTCTTTAACATGACAATATTCATCTACATCATCAGTTTTCTCTTCTTTAACCTGACAATATTCATCTACATCATCAGTTTTCTCTTCTTTAACATGACAATATTCATCTACATCATCAGTTTTCTCTTCTTTAACATGACAATATCCATCTACATCAACTGTTGTCTCTGCTTTAACATAACTATATTCATCTATATCATCTGTTTTCTCTTCTTTAACATGACAATATTCATCTACATCATCAGTTTTCTCTTCGTTATCATGACAATATTCATCTACATCAACTGTTGTCTCTGCTTTAACATGACTATATTCATCTATATCATCAGCTTTCTCTTCTTTAACATAACTATATTCATCTATATCATCAGTTTTCTCTTCTTTAACATGACTATATTCATCTATATCATCAGTTTTCTCTTCTTTAACATGACAATATTCATCTACATCATCAGTTTTCTCTTCTTTAACATGACTATATTCATCTATATCATCTGTTTTCTCTTCTTTAACATGACTATATTCATCTATATCATCTGTTTTCTCTTCTTTAATATGACAATATTCATTTACATCATCAGTTTTCTCTTCTTTAACATGACAATATTCATCTACATCATCATCATCAGTTTTTTCTTCGTTGACAATATTCATCTCCATCCTCACCATTTGCTTCTTTAACATGCATTTTCTTGTTTTCTTGTTTTGATCTAAATCATCAAATTGTTGACAAATTTCATAACATATTGTACACTAATAAAATGTTCTAACATCATTAGAATCCTGTAATATATAAAAGTTATAACATCATTAGTTTCCTGTAATATATAAAAGTTTTAACATCATTAGTTTCCTGTATATAAAAGTTATAACATCATTAGTTTCATGTAATATATCATGGGCGCAGATCCCGGTGGGGACACCGGGAGGCGTCCCCACCAATATTTTTAGTGGTGGGGACATGATATATTGTGTCCCCGACACTTATTTCGGATGTTTTGCTAACTGTTTATTTTTTTAAATTGAAATCATTCCAGAGCTTTTATTGACATTTCAGAAAGTGTACAGTTGGTCCCAGGGACTTGAGGCCAGGGTCCTTGAAGTTGTACAGCTGCACCCGGTGACCGATTTTCATTTAACAGGGAATAAGTGATAATTCATATTATAACAGTAAATAATTAAAATATTCCATAGGGTTTATAATAATATGTGCATATCTGATATGCTGGGTATTAAAGGGTTAAGGAATAACTGAGATTTTGTTTTTATCTGGTATACTGGATGATAAATCACCTAACTAAAGGATTTAGTTTGTATTTCAGGGGACCCCTCATTGCTAGATTTGCTGCCATACTAAATAAACGTATTTTTAAAGACTGGTTTCTATCTCTCTCTGTGGAATATAGGCAATTAAATCTAAAATTTAAGACTCAAACCCTCTATTTTTTGGAGTACAGTAAGCCGAGCCAAGAATCGTGTACTTAGTATTACAAGTAAGTGAAAAAATTTTGCTGTTTTGAAGATGGTTTAGGAATTTAGGAAATTTATCGGAAAAGACATTTTTTTTAAAACCTTTCATGGGCCATCCAGAAAGAAGACAAAGGGAAAAGAAAAGGGCAGAGTGGATATAAGTGTACTGTTCTTTAGTTTTAAATATATTAAACACTTTATTGAATGTTTTTTTTTTTCGATTAAAAAATTGCTCTCTGAACTATTTTGTTCTTGGTAAAAACTCCTCAGAATCACTAAAATAGCCTTGGGAACAATATAAACAGCTAGATTTAACTTTTAAAAAAAAAGCGAAAAGTTATTATTTCACTTGGGTCACCATTGTTTAATTTTCACTGGGAAAATTCGCCTTTGCCATCGGATTTTTAATCACCAATAAATGTTACATTTATTTCAATTGGGATTGAATATTGATATGTTTAGCTGTGTGTGTGGCTTGTTTTAGTTTATATAAATTAAAAGATTTGTAGGCCTGTACATTTGTGTATCCAATTGAATACACATTTTGCTCAAAGACTTTACGTAGCCTTCGAACACTTTGCTACCTCAGAGATTAGTATTGTTTGCCAGAAAATGATGCTGAAAATACCAACAGAGTGCATTTTAGAGCGTCTAGTTTTCAAAAAATTCAGGGGGAGCACCCCCGAACCCCCCTCTTTACCAATAATCACCCGTGCATGGACTGTCCCCACCATTAATTTTTGGCGATCTGCGCCCCTGTAATATATAATAGTTATAACATCATTAGTTTCATGTACTCTTCAAAAACTGTAGGGGATATTGAAATGCAAATACCTATGCAGGTTGTGATATGATAAATAGTCATGGACACTTGACATGCTTTGAGAGAATGTTCACAGATGAAGAACTTATCGCCCCAACAGAACCACTGAGCTGAAATTTGACACTTCAAGGAAGGATTGATGAAAACTGCCGCTTGCTGGTTTATTCTATCCATGTTTGCTTTACTATCGGCTCTTGCATAAGATATACTGTTTAGCGTATCTTTGCTTTAGTGTGTTACGTTTAATTTGATTGGGAGACGTGTTCGTCAACGTCAATCGACAAAACATGATTTTTCGTACAATCAAGGGCCATAATTCAGGAAGTGACTATCCGATATGCCGAATATCGAAAGGAACCAAGATCTTTGGGTTATTAACTTACATTTCAAGTTTCATCAAAATCAAAAGAAAATTGTGACCTCTAGAGGGTCCACAACATTGATATACCATATTTTTTATACTATGAGTACGAGGGGCGGCCATTTTGTCTGTCAGTTTTGGTCCGACATTTATGAAATTCGAACACAACTATCCTTAGGGTGTAATGGTGATATATTCGAACGTTTTTGTTAAATCGGATAAAAATTATGACTCTATAGGGTCAACATTTTTCGTACAATCAGGGGCCATAATTCAGGACGTTACGGTCCGATATGCATAAATTTCGAAAGAAACCAAGATCTTTGGGTTATAAACTTACATTTCAAGTTTCAACAAAATTGGATAAAAATTGTGACCTCTTTAGGGTCCACAACCTTGATATACCATATTTTTACGCTATTTGAGAATTTTGTCTGTCATTTTTGGGCCGGTTTTCACGAAATTCGAACTCAGCCGTCCTTAGGGTGTAAAGGTGATATAAAAATACGGTTTTTCAAATCAGATAAAAATTACGACCTCTATAGGTTCCACAAGCTAAAAACGCGATTTTTCGTACAATCAGGGTCCATAATTCCGGAAGTTACGGTCCGATATGCACGAATATCGAAAGGAACCAAGATCTTTGGTTTATAAACTTTAATTTCAAGTTTCAACAAAATCGGATAAAAATTGTGACCTCTATAGGCTCCACAACCTTGATGTACCATATTTTTACGCTATTTGAGAACGAGGGGCGGCCATTTTGTCTTTCAGTTTTGGGACGATTTTCATGAAATTCAAACTCAGCCGTCCTTAGGGTGTAACGGTGATATATTAAAACGATTTTTTAAATTGGATAAAAATTATGACCTCTATAGGGTCCACAAGCTAAAAACGTGATTTTTCGTACAATCAGGGGCCATAATTCAGGAAGTTACGGTCCGATATGCACGAATATTGAAAGGAACCGAGATCTTTGTGTTATAAACTTACATTTCAAGTTTCAACAAAATTGGATAGAAATTGTGACCTCTATAGGGTCCACAACCTTGATATACCATATTTTTACGCTATTTGAGAACGAAGGGCGGCCATTTTGTCTGTCAGTTTTGGGCCGATTTTCATGAAATTTGAACTCAGTCGTCCTTAGGATGTAACGGTGATATAATAATACGTTTTTTTAAATCGGATAAAAATTATGACCTCTATAGGGTCCACAAGCTACAAATGTGATTTTTCGTACAATCAGGGGCCATAATTCAGGAAGTTACTGTCCGATATGCGCGAATATAAAAAGGAAACGTGATCTTTAGGTTATAAACTTACATTTCAAGTTTCAACAAAATCGGATAAAAATTGTGACCTCTATAGGGTCCACAACCTTGGTATACCATATTTTTACGCTATTTGAGAACAAACGTCGGCCATTTTATCTGTCAGTTTTGGGACGATTTTCACGAAATTCAAACTCAGTCATTCTTAGGGTGTGACGGTGATATAATAATACGGTTTTTTAAATCGGATAAAACTTATGACCTCTATAGGGTCCACAAGCTAACCACAAGATTTTTCGTACAATCAGGGGCCATAATTCAGGAAGTTACGTTCCGATATGCATGAATATGGAAAGGAACCGAAATCTTGGGCTATAAGCATACATTTCAAGTTTAAACCAAATCGGATAAAAATTGTGACCTCTACAGTGTTCACAAGCTAAAAACGTGATTTTTCGTACAATCGGGGGCCATAATCCATGACGTTATGGTCCGATACATGCCAATATCGAAAGGAACCGAGATCTTAGGGTGATAAACCTATATTTCAAGTTTAATTGAAATCGGATAAAAATTGTGACCTGTAGACTGTTCACAAACAATTGTGGATGGACGGACGGACGCGACGACAATATACGTCCATATGAAAATGTGGGCGTATAAAAATGTATTTAAAACAAAAAATCACTTGTCAAAAGAGGTATCGCAGACTGTGTGTCTTATTGGGCCTTGTGTGTTAATTATGCAGACCATGGGAAAAACTTGTGCAAGTTTTGCGTTAAATTGAACCATTTTCACTGCATCAGTGTAGTATACAATAACCCATATTGCATGCGTTGATAGGCTGAGGCATGATCGCGATCTACGAAGTGCCATCCAA